AAAATAATCGAGTATTAATTTTTAATGGGTTTGAGTTTAAAATAGGTTTATAATATATATAATTTATATAATATTTAATAATTTTGATTAATTAACTAATTTCGAACCGACCGAACTAATTCAATAGTCGATCGAATTAATCGAACTAATTCGATTCGAATTCTGTTAAAACCATTAATGAACACTCTTAATTATTTGAAACAAGAGTTCAACTATTTTTAATAAAACATAATATAAGCAATTTGTAGTCAAGTAGTCAAGTCTCAAGTACTCAAGTATGAGACTTAACAAATTGACTGCTGTGAAACAACGGAGATAAACTTTTGAGGAGATTATTTCAATGCTTCTAAAGTTTTTTCTTCTAAAAAAACTCGGCCATTGCACACCATTGAAGATTGAAGATCCAGCCTTACTTTTGGCACAAAAATTCTCCTATTATACCCCCTACACCTATATGGTCAATGGATTGTATCTGAAGCTCCAAAAACCCACACTTCCGATAACAACGGCCTTGATCTTCACAAAAGTCCCCATCAAAACAACTTACCATATCATATAACTACAAAAACCATGCTAGTTTCCCAGTTTTGGCCTGAATGTTGAGGAAAATTAGGATTGAGAGAGAAACATATATCTATCTCCATTGATGTGCTCGGTTCAAGCCTTGGATTTTCGAGGGTGTTTAAAAAAAAAGGCACTTTATTCTCTAGAAAAATCGATACTTTGCCCTGTACCTTGAAACGTGGTTTTTGTTGTTTGAATAGAGAGACCAGACCATACATTTTCTTGTTCTAACCTCAGTTGTTGTCTTGTTCTTCCATCTGTCTGTTGTTGGTTTTCCGTTTTCAATTTCCTTTCCTTTTCCCCCCTTTTAAGTGTTCTCCACACCAGCAAAAACTGGGTCTTTTTTGGTCTTCACCTAGTTCAAGGTACAGTAATGATTCAGGTTAAAAACTGGTGTTTTCTCTCCAATACTTGAGGGAACTGAGTACTACCCTGCATTTCATTTCAGCCATCATTCAAAATTAGAACACTTTTTCTCCCATTATTTTCAGCAAAAGCTTGAAATTTCCCCTCTTGTCCCAGTTTTCAAGGTTTTTTTTTTTGTACTTTTCTATTTGTCTTTGTTTACATATTTATCAAGGGGAAGAAGAACACCTGAGAATATATCATCAAGGTCATAGTTTGAGCCAAAAGAAGCAACCTTCACAAATTCATAAATTATTATTTTCTTACAAATCTGGGGGTGTGTGAAACAATGAGAAGTGGGAACAACAAGAGCAGCAAGGTTTTTTTCTTCCTTTTGAAACAAAGCCAAAAATAAAACTCATTTTGATTCTTCATGTCATTTTAATGTTTCAAGTGTGAGATTTACTGATTGGTTTAAGTGTCCCCCCCCCCCCCCTTTCCTTATTATGAAGCTTTCATGGCCCAAGGCATTGGTCAAGAAATGGTTCAATATCAAGAGTGAAGCTGAGGACTCTCATTCTGATGATGTTGATTATATAGGTGACTTTGATTGATTTCAGATTCTTCTAGACACTGGACATGTGCATTTGCATTAAAACTTGACTTGTTTTTTTGGTTTGCAGCCTCAAGTTCTGTTTAGTGTATTTGTCCCCCCCCCCCCCGGAGATCTCTGAAATCCATAATCTTTATCCTTTTTTGTGTTTGAATATGTGAAATTGATACGCTTCTGATAAAGAAAGAAAACTGCAGCAGCTTTAACAACTTCATGATTCTTCCTTTTCAGGTGTTGATGAAGGTTGGAGGCACCATTTTTCGGAGAAGGAGCCATGCACCATCAAGAAAAGTAGAACAGGTTTGGATTTTGGACCACAACTCTCTTTTTTATCTTCCCACCATCTCAAGAACTTCTAATTAACTCTCTTTTGGATCTTAGAGAGATCAAGCAAGAGGTATTCACATCGAGGAAAAATCGAACTCGATGGCTCGCAGTTTACTGATGTGCATAATTATAGGTATGTGATGTGTTCCTATAGTTGCTTTTCTGGTGTTCTGTTGTGTTTTGCTGAATAGGATTTGGTTTTGTAGGATTTTTATAGCTACATGGAATGTGGCTGGGAAATCTCCTCCTAGTTATTTGAATCTTGAAGATTGGCTTCATACTTCTCCTCCTGCTGACATTTACGTTGTCGGGTATGTCGAGCTGAACTGGATTTCGGTTCTTTTAAAGGAATGGAATTTGTGATATTTGATAGAAGCCTCTTGGATCTTTTGTATTTGGTCTTGTAGTTTTCAAGAAATTGTCCCTTTGAATGCTGGTAATGTGTTGGGAACGGAAGACAATGGACCGGCTAGGAAATGGCTAGCTCTCATCAGGAAGACGCTGAATAGTCTTCCCGGCAGCAGTGGTTGTTGCCACACACCTTCACCGATCCCCGATCCGCTTGTGGAACTGGATTCGGACTTTGAAGGATCGACAAGTCAGAAAGCTTCGTCTTTCTTTCACCGCCGGTCATTTCAATTCTTGAGCCGTCATAGCATGGGAATCGATAACGACATGGCAATTCCGCAACCCCAGCTCGACCGCCGCTTCAGTGTCTGCGATCGTGTTATCTTTGGACATAGACCTAGTGATTGTGATACTAATTTCAGATGGGGTTCCTCTGATGATGAAAACGGACCAGGGGATTCACCGGGGAACACTCAGTATTCTCCAATGTCCTATGGTGGATCTTTTGCCATGAAGGAAACCAATAGACAGATGGGGCATTCAAGGTACTGTTTGGTTTCCAGCAAGCAAATGGTCGGGATATTTCTAACCGTTTGGGTGAAGAGTGATCTTCGAGATAATGTTCACAACTTGAAAGTGTCCTGCGTCGGCAGAGGATTGATGGGTTATCTTGGAAACAAGGTACATTTTTGCATATGAAAGTTTTTCTCTGATTCGAGTGATTTTCTTGAACTAGAAGTAAGGAGGCATACTCGTTTCTTGAGTTTTTCAGGGATCCATTTCTATTAGCATGTCTTTGCATCAAACTAGCTTTTGCTTCGTCTGTAGTCATTTAACATCCGGGCAAAAGGAGGGTGATGAGCTGCGAAGAAACTCCGATGTTATGGAGATCCTAAGGAAGACAAGGTTTCCCAGGGTTCATGGCATCGGAGACGAGAATTCTCCCCAAACGATTCTTGAGCATGAGTAAGACTCAATATTTTAAATTATTACATTAGTTTCCTTGAAACTATATCCTTTGGTTTAAAATGCTACTTTCCGAATGTATTGGCATAGTCGTATTATATGGCTTGGGGATCTGAATTATCGGATTGCTCTGTCATACCGTTCTGCAAAAGCTCTGGTCGAGATGTGCAATTGGAAGGCGTTGTTAGAGAATGACCAGGCATGTTCTTATCCTTTCTGAGTGATTCGATATAGTCATTTTCCCGTACATTTGTTGATGACCTTTATGTTTCTCTTAATTCCTCCAAGAGTCTCAAAAGAATTGATGGTTTTACAGCTTCGGATAGAACAGAGGCGAGGCCGTGTTTTCGATGGATGGAGTGAAGGAAAAATATATTTCCCTCCTACATACAAATATTCTAATAATTCAGACAGATATGCCGGGGAGGATAGACACCCTAAGGAGAAGCGAAGGACTCCTGCATGGTAATATCTCATACGTTTTTGTCTGTCAGAAGAAATCGTCACATGATCTTTCTTTTACTTTCGATCTAATAGTGTCATAATAGTATGCAACCTGATATTTGTGAAGGTGCGATCGTATACTTTGGTATGGAAGAGGCCTATATCAGCTATCTTATGTTCGCGGGGAGTCAAAGTTTTCGGATCACAGGCCTGTTTATAGTGTATTTTCGGTCGAGGTTGAGTCTATTAACCTTACTCGAATGAGGAAAAGCATGAGTTGTTCCAGCGCTAGGATCGAGGTTGAAGAGCTTTTGCCGCAGTCAAACGGATATACAGAACTCAGTTTCCTTTGAGATAATCTTTAACAGTTAATATTTCCATGCTGTCACTTGAAGACACAACAGGATCAAGTGCGCAGTTGTACAATGTAATCCGTCTATACCTGGGCTTTAAACGAATAAATTTTTTTTGCTGTTGCTCACTGATTCCTGCAAACCGCACAATTAAATCTGTCCATTTTCAGCTGTTAACAGGATATCACGATGAAAGTGCGATTCGCGAGAATTCTTACAGTACTCTCTTTCAACCAGTCAGGTAAGTTAACTCAATTAACGTAAACTCTGTCCGAATTGGTCGTGTTAGTAGGAAGAAAAGGTATATGCTTTAGTTGATATCATGATATAGGCTTCTTTGGGTGAATCATATGAAATCTTATGCATCTATAGCTTCCATTCTTCACCCTACCATGTGTTGATATCTAATGGAACAAGCAACATGCAGAATCTTTCCGGCTCATAAAATTGGAGTTTTCTCCGAGTGTCACTGTAAATCATTTCGTGTTTTCTTCCAACCATTGGAAGACGTACCAAATCCAAACCAAGGTCAGTCCTTCGGTTTTTACGGTTTCGGATATATTTTCTCAACCGCTAGATTCATTGATTGTTCCCTGTTGCATCAGGTTCAACATTGGGTTGCCCTCACCAAAATCGAAGTCCCAACACTTCAAAAAGACATCCATTAGTTGGCAGTAACTTACGATACAAGTTGTTAGTCTTTGATCTTGTCCAAATTCCATTGAAACCTTCAATGTATATGTTTCAAACAAAAATGAGAGCGGGAAGAGATCTGACATGATTTTGTTATTTCGTTGAGATAATGGAGAATAAATTGTCAATTCCTATGATGTACTAGTTTTGGAAGATCAAAGCCTGGAGATGTGAAACCTTCTTTTACTGTGGCTGCTAATCATTTTTTTACTAGTTTGGTTGTTTCACTGTTTAAAAAATTGACCTGAAGGTAAAAGAATTGAACTTTTCTATTAATTCAAGAGATGGTTGGCTTTTCCAAAAGGCAATGTTGTATTGATATCTGTGTGTTTGAAGTGCTGCTGCTTTGGGGAGAAAAAAGTGAAGCATCAGGTGCTAATTAAAACCAAGCAGTGAAACCCTTTGTTAAACTGTAAAATCCCAACTTTGAACCAGTCATGCTGGCTCTCTGCCATGCTACCTAGTCCCTACCTTGCTCATTGTGTCCATTATTTTGTGTACTGCCAGAAGCAACACTAACTCTAAGCTACAAATATTGCATCTCTTTCATATCTCCTCACTTTTGTCATTTTCTTTTCATAAATTAAATCTCAAAATTTCCCTAAACATTTAGGGTTCTAAATCATTCGATCAATTCTCATCTGTTGATGATTACTGAGATGTTCATGTGCTCAATCAATTGAATTTATTATATAACAATCTTATATACCCCTCATCCCATTATTTGTGTTTGATATTAACTGTGTCTGATATTAACTATGCACATAGTTTTAGGAGTTACATTTGATAAGAGAAAAAATTTAATGTTCTCTCATTGGTATGATGTTCATCTCTCTTTTTTCGTCTTTACTGATTGGCGGTGGCGTCAATTTTAATGTTTGCCGACCGCGATATTCTTTATTGTTTTTTTATTTTCTAAATCGTATGTTTATTTTCTTTTGTTTTTTTTTCAATTATGTTTGTGTTGCATGTTTTCATCTGCCTTTATGACACATTTTCTTATGTTTTTTTGCTTGTTTTTCGGTTCTTTGGCCATTTTTTATTTATCTTTTTTAAGGGTTTATTTGAAATCGTCACGACTGATCAAGATGTTGTTTATCTGATATATTGTGATATTCCCTGCTTTAGACCCTCGGATTAGATTTGGATACTCGATTTACGTTCGTTGATTGCTTTTCATGACTTTCTAGTCTGATTTACGATTTGTCGGTGGTATTTCAATAGTTTGATCTTTTTTATGGTTCATTTGTCGATGCGATCAAATATGTTTGTATCTATATTTGTTCGAGTTTTTTGGTTAGATTTAATATTTCATTATATTGTCCCTATGTGATCTTAAATCACTAGTTTCATTTTAATGATTGTAGGAAAATTTTCTAATTATGTGTTTAATTTATTATTATAATTGTAAATATTTATTATAATTTAAGATATTTTTTATTTTGAATAAAATTAATTGGTATATATATATATATATATATATATATATATATACAAGTAAAATGACAAAAAAAAAAGTGTTTGGGAACCAAAAGAATGAAGGAGTTTAACAAGGTTAGAAGAAAAACGAACTGAAAGCAACACACGCGCGGGTGCGAATTTTGTGTCGAAGATATGTCGCTGTCGCGATGGCTTTCATTGTTCTTTGGTTATGATCGCAATTCGTGCGCGTGAATTCATTTGTGAGTTTGTTTTCCATCGTGCTGTATACGCGTTATGGGAGGGCGTGAAAGAATTAGTTTAGTTCCTTTTTTTCTGTACGGAAAAGGAAAGTGCTTTAGTACTTTCCCCAATAATATTCAGCCAAGTGGCGTTTTTTGTTTTTGATTTTATACTGTAAAGCAAAAAATAATAATTTTGGGTAAACTACTCATTTAGTACCTACTTTGTAGCCCATTTTCAATTGCATTTCCGACTATGTGAAATTATATATGATAATTCAAGTTATAAAAATAAATCCTTTCTCCAACATGTTTCTTCAATTTTATTTTATTTATAAAAAATCCGATTGGTTTCAATTTTTTTTGTTTTAAGATACTCCACTTTAGTGCTATGCACGTTTGTGTGAGAAAAAAAATAGCAGTAATCGCAGGGGAAATTATCAATGTGGATGGCACGACATGATAAATTTTTCTATGAGAAAATTGTTCATATTATATGAAGAAACAAAAATGGACGCACAAATCTGTAAGAATAGTAAAAGTAAAAAGGTTTGTAGAAGTGCTGCAGGTACAAGCTAAATGGAAAACATGTGTTGGATTGTGTGTTGATTATCATAGGGTTTGTAAGAGAATCCAATAAAGCCTAAGGAGTTGGAGACATGACATGACATGACATTTGGCAAGCATAGGGAGTGGGGAATTCCCATGCCCTTTTGTGTTCAGTCCTCGCGTGTTTCTTATTTTTCAACAACAAAATCTGTCGCAGTGTTCTAGTTTTGTTGACAGAAGTTTCCTCCATTTCGTTTGTTGCTACTGTTCCACGTGAAGGAACATTGTTTCGTTTATAAATAAAATGTTTCTCCTGCTCAAATTAATCAATGTCCCATGCATGGCTTTATTATTAAGATTTCATATCTCGTGTGCTTAACTTTTTTATTAAGGAGAGAGATATTTATAATTTAAGGTTAAATATCGAGATTTAAATCATGATAAAATAATATAAATATCTCATAGTTATTCGATTAGTTAATGAATCTTGTATACTTAAGTTTTATTTAGAATAAAGAATAAAAGTAAAAAATATAATATAATTTATTAGTTGAATGATTCAGATTTGTCATTATTTTCAATATTGATATTTTTTATTCTCATCATTCGTATTAAATAAAATCTTAAAATGTTTGAATTTATACACTAAATATAACCTTTTATTGATAAAATCTTAAAATGTTTTATATATTTCTTAAATTACCAGTATATACCAAAATTTTTAATTAATTAAAGTAAATTATACTGAAATTATTTTCGCATATAATAATAATTGAACCAATATTAGTTAAATAATTTTCTTTATACTTATGGATTAAATGAATAAACCTCCGAGTATTATTGTAAATATTCGGTTCTCTAAATATTAAAATGTTAAATAGTTTATGGGGGAATTCAACACTCTCATAGTTCTACTTGATTCGACGAGATTATGGAAGGCTAAAAAGGTGTCACTTTTCCGTGTTTGGTTCCAAAATAAAACATATCGAAGAAATTAAGTTTTGTTGAAGGATATCTCGATTCTTGAGTCGAAATCTTAGAAATTTATTATTTTAAGGTGAATATTGTTTTTTTTTTACAAAAAAAAATTTAGGTTAGGGTAGTAAAGTCCAGGATTAGTATATACCTAAGATCTGATTGAAAATTATATAGAAATTTATAGATTATCCACCCAAAATGACGATCATAAAATTCAAACTTAACCTTACAAATTAAAATTCTTAAATCCTAACCATTTGTACTGACACTCATGAGCGAGTGTATGGTATTTTAGCTCCGGAATTTTACCTCTCAACCTTAAAGAGAGTCCCAAGAGCATCAATGTTTCGTATGATGCCGTAGAACAGTTGATCCTCTCAATGATGCCAAAATTTGTGCCAACTTTCCCTATAAGGGCTTTCAATGATTCCGTGTAGCAGTTTTGTGTTAGGTAGCGGTGCACCTAGAAATTTTTTCAGGGTTGGTATATATATATGTTTATATTATAAATTTGTAAATAGGTACAACAAAGTATTAAAATCATTATTTTATCAGTGTTATAGACCAGAATCCCTGCCTTGTATCAGTTGCTAACAATTATTATCTTTTCAGGTAAATAACCCAAGTCTGAGTCTGACTCTCTGAGTCATCTCGGACCTGTTGCTTACTCACGGCTTTAATACGTCTGAAAGTGCCCCAGGGTGGCAGGTGCCACCGTCGTCACCCACTGATGGGAGAATTCATTTGGGACCGTACAGTTTTCTGGGGAATGTTGAATGCAAAATTTTGAACATTTAGGGCAACAACAAATGGAAGAACAGAAGTGCATGTGGAGTGTAGAACCATGTTAGGGCTACATGACCCTGAGAAGCTAGACTTAAAACAAGCAGCATTTCACCATTGTAGAAGTAAGCTACCCTTTTGAAAATTGCAACAAAGGGAATCTTATTGAACCCCAAAACCATTTGTTTCATGAACCTGACAGAACTGCAAGCTTGAAAGCAACCGATCAGCGTCGATCTTTAAATGCAGAAAGCAAAAACCCCAAACTCCAAGCAATTGGATGAGCAGATCCGTACCAGAAAAAAAGAAAAAGTAAAACGTATCTGGGGAGAAACAGATACTCGATGTGGGATAAACAATTCAAGGAAGCATATGAAAACAAAATATGAGATCACTGTTGGTGTCATCCATGCAGCACGTTAATTTGTGTATGGAAAATCCACATGCATATCTAGTTTGCTGACGATAATTAGACCCTTTTTGGGGGTAAGGTCAACCCTGCATGGGTTTTGCACCATGTCCTCAATAAAGTCGATTCGCTCGGTTCCAAATGCATCTGAGATTCAAACACCCTACCGTAGTTGTCACAAGGGCGGAGGCAAGGCAATGTGCATTTCGAGTTAACATAAGTCTAGTCATGTATTGGGGCCTTATCTGCGACTTCCATCCAATGTTTTTTTCATGGGCTAGCATGTTAGGAGTCGAGTCTATTTCAAATTTTCTGATGGATCTCTCTTTTGGGCTCTTATGGTTACATTGCACTTCAAACTTATCAATTTTTTCCCTCCCATTTCTAAGGATTTGCCTTGATTAATTCGGACCAACCCACGACACACGCCTGATTTTGGTGGATTAGTCTCCGAGTAAGGATTTTGTGTATATACAACGACTCAAACTTGATACCTTACTTAAACGATATCAAACTGCTTATTACTTGAACCAAACCCTGGTGGTAAACTTATTGATCCTTTCACTAATCTTATATAAATTTAGTGTTATTGCCTTAAAAAATTAATATTATTGTTAAATACATGTCCCAACGATTTTATGGTTGTTCGATAAAATTTTAGAGAAGTAAGAGAGAATCATCATTTATTTAGGTGTAATTACAATACATAAAAAACTGTCATTAATTAAAACTTATGAAAAAAATTATTTTTCATCTGTAAATAAATAAAGAGTTTGAAAGTATAATTTTTTTTAATCTAGAGTGATTATAAGTGAAAATATAGTTATGTGCAAGGAAAGATTAACACATTTATAATGCTTAAAATTAATATTTTCTAAACATGTGTTAGTTCAAATTTTGAAAGTTATAAATTTAAATTTAACATTTAATATTTAAATGTAATCTCTTAAAATATATATATATATATTAATATAATAAATTTATTTAAATTTTTAAAGTATTTAACGCTTTAATGGATCGAGCTTTGACGAGAGTTTTAAATTCGATAAAACAAATAAATATAACATGTGATTCATGCTTAGACCAAATGGTCATTCATCATTTCTAGAATTGTAGCAATCAGAATTGTAGCAATCCATTTATTAAGCAATTACTTATGGTTTAAGACACGTTGACAAGCTTGTCCTTCCAATCACTTTGGGTCAAAGCTGGGTCCACACGATTTTGAGCTGTAAATATATATTATATTATATTATATTTTTATGGGTAAACTACAAGTTTAGTATCTAAATTATCATTTTTATTCTGTTTTGATATCCAAACTTTTTTTGTTTTCAAAACTATGTCTAACGTTTATATCAAGTTCCAATTTGGTACCTTACTGTTAAAAAATTAACATAAATGATGACATGATACTTCTTATTTTTTAATGATGATGTGGTATTATCTTATGAAAATGTGTCAGTATCAACATTAAGCTTTTAACAATAGGTACAAAAATGAAACCTAAACTAAACATTAAGCATATTTTTTAAACAAAATAAAATTTAGGTACCAAAATGAAACAAAAATACTAGTTTAGATACTAAATGTTTAGTTTACCCTCTTTTTGTTCTTAGCTTTTTCACTCTTCTTCATTACTCTTTTAGTTTTATAATAAAAATTATAAAAAAATTTATGGTTTAGGTGAAGAGATGAGATTGATTATATTTTATCTGGTGTTCGTGGAAACATATTCTGTTTTAGTTTCAAAATTCTAATAATTCTAATTATTTATTTTTGTATTTCAAAATTCTAATAATTTCACTTGATTTTATTTTATGTTTCAACACCTTGCTTGATGGCACTAAATTTAACTAATGACTTTATTTAATTTTTAAAAGTTTATAATTCTATTATTTTTTATTCGCTATGGAAAAGTAATTAATTTATTAGTCCTCATAGAGGGGTGAAGTGTTGTAATTAGACCATAAATTTATACGAGAGAAGAAATCAGTTAAAACAAAAACGAGAGCTTTGATGAAACTCGGCGTTTCTTTTTGCTGTGCAAAAGTCTCTCCGTCGCATATCTTCTTCTCTTGTCAGGCAAATTTACACGCTACTGCTTCGCTTCCTCTTATATTTCTCTCTCCTTTTCAGGAACGGAGCTCGAATCATTTTTCTTCTTTTTGGGGTCTTGGCTTTCAGGTATAGCATCTTCTCTTTGTTCAATTAAAGGTTTTTTTCTTCTTCTTTTACTTGTTCATATTTTAATGGATTTTTTTGGAAATTCGTTAGAATTTGGTTTTAATTTCGATACTTTCGATTACCCTTTCTTTATTTGTGCTGAATTAGTGGTGGATTTTATCTGAAAGTGGAGCAACGTCGGTTATATTCGTTTCTTTGTAGGAATTTTCTTCTTGTTAATATGGCTGAAATGCTTTTCATTTCTTTGTTTTGGAATCATTCTGGGTTTGGGATTAACGAGTTGTCGAAGTGAATTAGAAGTGTGATTATCTGTGATGATGAAATTCAATGGTTCATATTTCAGCATTATTATATTAAAAAACCCATTAATTATTTTTTTAGAAATAATCTATGTCAGATTAATTAGAACAATAATTCTCAAATTATCCACACGTAGGATACCTCGGATTTTGCAAAAAGCGAAATCAAACTTGTGTTTTACTAAAAACAAGTTTTATGCATTTATTATTGTCTTTATCAAATATTAAATGAATTTATCCGAAAAAGTTGATGGATCTCGCGTCCTATAAATAAAATGCGAGGTTCATTTAACGCATTGTGTAGGACGCGAGATACTTATAGTTGAGTTTTTTTTTTGGAGTTATTCTTCTTACTAATCTGATATAAGTGTTATTTCTAAAAAAATAATAATAAATGGGGGTTTTTAATATAACAACGCCTCATATTTAGGGGCAATGAAATGTTTGGTCCCACTTTGTGCTTGTAAATGTGCTTGATTCCTTGTGCTTGTTAATTTCTTTTTGGAAACGTGTTCCCATTATACTATAAAATTCAGGGTTTTATAGATAGTTTTCTAAATGTTGGAAGTGGTTGTCCCTTTCTCCTTTGAAATTGCTTATGCTTTATATCAACTTTGATACTTGAACAGTGCAAAGATAATATCCTAGATCTTTAAGTTTTTAATACTTGAACAGTGTAACGATAATATTCAGAATTTCATGAAATACGTAAGTCATAGACTTATTTTTTGTGGAGTTCAATGCATTTTCATTTTCAGTAAGTCGGTGCGAGCAGTAGAGAAAGGATTGTTTGTTAGACTATACAGTCTCAGGCTCTCGGGATGATAACTTATCCGCATTTTTGTGAGGGATAAATATTAACGGATTCATTATAGCGCTAGGAATTAAGTTTTGATCTTATTTTTTTTTTCTTAGATGTTCTTTCTGAGTTCTCTCAGCATGCAATCAACTTGAATGATGAAAACTTTATTGTAACCAGCAATTATAGTGCTTTAGGAGGCTAGACATTTGAATCAATTGCTCAGAAGAAAGTTTTAACTGTAATAAACGTGGATAAAGCCAGGATTCTGAAGTTTATTGACTTGAGATTGAAGCTTCCAACTTGGTGTTTATGTATTCAAGAATTTTGAGTACCTAATAGTTAATATGTGAAGGTACTCATGTTCATCCTACATGCTGAGAAGTTTGTAAGCAAAACATGTGTAAAATCAAAATTTATCTCTGAGAATATTCCTTATCAATACTTAAAGCCTTCCAAAACCTTGTCCCCTTCATTAAACCCCACTTATTTTCTCTGCATCCTTTATAAGCATCTGGCTTCGTCTAACTTACTATTTCCCATCCCTTTCGTTAAGAAAATATATTCTGGTTCTAGGAGAAATTCTATGTAATAAACCAAGAAATTTTATTGTGAAAACATCATGCTTGAAGCCATGAACAAACAAAAGGCTTTATGAAAAGCAAAAGAAAATATCTACTTTTACTCCAAAGTTCGTGATACTGCCATGCTTTGGTGGAGAATTCTTCCATGGTGATTTCAGTTTCCTTTCAGAGTCTTATGGAGCATTTTCTCCTTCATTGTAGGAAAATTTTTACATTAGATGTCTAGTTTTGTTTCACCTTCATATAATGCATGATTGCTATTTTCCCCCTCCTTTTGTTGGCATTGGTGACATTGACTGACAATTTGATTTTCAATGATGTCATTGATGCTAATCCCCCTTTCCTTAAAAAAAACGATGATAATTGTGCTGCAAATGCTGCCGAATACAATTATAGTGATTCTATTTTCATCATGATTCAACTGGCCTTTGATGAATGTATTACTTCTGAAGTCCAAAACTATTCATTTGGTTCTTACACACAAGTTCCAAATTTGCTCTTTCAGATTGCATATTCCACTGCTGTGGTTTATATAGCAAAACTTTGTCAGTGAAGAACGGTTGGGTTAGATGTCACCATGGTTATTATGTCTGGACTAATTGAAGGCCTTCCGGATGCTGTTGCCCTTAGGTGCATAGCACAAGTTCCCTTCTACCTATATCCTAAGTTGGAGCTTGTTTCTCATGCATGGAGAGCTGCCATTCGTAGCTCTGAGCTGTTCAAAGCTCGACAAGAGGTTGGCTCGGCAGAGGAACTTCTTTGTGTGTGTGCATATGATCCAGAGAATTTATGGCAGCTGTATGATCCCATCCACGACCTTTGGATTACTCTTCCTGTCCTTCCCTCGAGGGTCAGGCACCTTGCCTACTTTGGTGTGGTCTCAACTGGTGGAAAGCTGTTTGTGCTCGGTGGTGGAAGTGATGATGTTGACCCATTGACTGGTGACCAAGATGGGAGTTTTGCAACTGATGAAGTCTGGTCATATGACCCTATAATGCGTCGGTGGGCTCAATGTGCATCCATGATCTTACCTCGTGCCATGTTTGCATGCTGTGTTTTGAAGGGAAAGATCATTGTTGCTGGCGGTTTCACCAACTGCAGAGAATCTATATCTCAAGCAGAAATGTATGATCCCGAGAAGGATGTCTGGACTCCAATACCCGATCTCCACTGCACTCACAATTCAGCATGCTCCGGATTCGTAATCGGAGGGAAGTTGCATGTCTTGCACAAGGGGTTGTCGACAGTGCAAGTCCTGGACCAACTAGGTTCTGGGTGGACAGTAGAAGATTATGGTTGGCTCCAGGGTCCAATGGCAGTAGCACAGGGAGCCCTGTACGTGATGAGCCATGGACTCATTGTCAAGCAGGAAAAAGCAGCTAGCAAGGTAGTGGTTTCTGCTTCCGAGTTTCGTAGGAGAATCGGGTTTGCAATGACAGGACTAAGAGATGAAGTATACGTGATTGGAGGGGTAATTGGCCCCGAACGATTTAACTGGGATATCAAACCAATGTCCGATGTTGATATCTTTACTGTTGGGGGCGATAGACCTACATGGCGTCAGGCAGCTCCAATGACAAAGTGCCGAGGAACAATTTTCGGTTGCACGCAGCTAAGAATTTAGGCCCCTACTTTTTTTCTTTTTTTTTTTCTGGTAGGTGTTGGTTGTATGGTGAAAAGTGAACCATTATGTTGAGGCATTTCAATTCCTCTTATTGGAGACGATAAATGATTTAGCTTTCGTGTCTTTGGTCTTGGTTTTCCTCCATTTTTACTATTATTTTCAAGAGGGGATGTTCCTTTCGAAACGAGAAAGTGACATTGATGTTGATGCATAAAATACAGAGAAAAAGGTAATACATGTTATCCCATTTCTAAATTGTCCTCCATGGCTAGGCTATTGACAAAGAACAATAATGCAATGGACTGTTGGGACAGATATTATGAACTTTATGGTCATCTGTGTTCGTACATTGGCGAACAATCTAGAGCTTGGTGAGTGGGATTGTTGCAGAAAAAGACGATCATTATATCCTCATCCGCTGAAACCGAAATAATGGCTTGAAAACTTTGATTTTACAATGAAACTTCAAAGTGAAGAAATTTAGTTTACAATTGATCCTTTGTTACTCTTCCCTCTCATTGCGTAATGTCACCGTCAACACGTAGAGACAAGCCACCAAAGCTTTTACATGATTGGGGTTTCGAGTAGAAAGGGACGTCCCCTTGGTGAAGGAAAAGTCATGGAAAGAAAGAGATAAGGCTAAAGAAGTTAGGTTTCCATGGTGACACTAACCCTACAACGAGTGTTTTCTTGTAGGAACAAGCAACCATGCCCTTTTGTAACTTTCTGCAAAAATAAATATTAAAGAAAACGTGAAGGGGTGTGAGACGGAAACAGATAGTTTCCTCCTCATCCGTTCGACTACGTGCCTTTGTTTCTGAATTCCAAAAAAAGAAAAAAGGAATTTGTTGCTGGATTTTTTTTGGCATGCTTTTTTACTGTAGAAACCCACTAATTCTCATGCATGGCATAGGTCTCTTTAAAAAGCCACAACCTACAAAACCTTTTTAGCTTTGTTTTCTACTTCGCTTTTGCCTTTACCTTTTTCTGTCTCCCCCTTCTGCAAATTGGTGGCTATTATTGCAGAATTGAATGAAACTGATGATTAAAGCAAGGGTTTGGCCAGTGTGTCAAGAATGATAGCCTAGCGCCCAACAACATGAAGTAAAAGTTCAAAACTAGAGACAATCAAGGAGAGAAGCAGAGTCTTAAGCTTTATTTCATCATTCCGTTTGCCTCAAAACGCATATAGATACAGTTCTTTGGTAAGAGCTGTTGTTTCGTGCCTGGTAATGATCATATGCTGTTGCATGGAAGCATTTCAATTTTCCAGGCGAGTCTTCACTTTCCGTATCTCTCACCCTTTCGGTTTCATGTTCTTTGTTAGAGTTCTAAGCCTTTGCTGGTTAGTTGAGTAGTTGTTCCACGTGCCAAGGTGGTTAAGTTGTTGTAACTGAAGAGCAGTTGTTAGCTTCTCCTTCTGTAGGTCTTTATATAGCTTTGCTCTTTGTATGAGAAGTTACGTGAATGGTAATACAAAACCAGATTGCTTTTTCATTCTTAACATTCGTCGACCTTTGTTTTCTGGGATTCAGCAGTGACCAGCAACAAGCAAGCTTCAATGGCTGATCACAATCTCGATTGTTTCCTTCTGATAACCACTTTTGTTTTTACTCAAACCAACCCAGATCCCCCAAAAGATTAATATCAACCGAATCAAAAGGTATCGATCTTGCCATAGTCGATACTCTCGGTGATAAGCCAGTCGAAAACAATGGCTCTTTCGAGACAAGCAACAATAAGGTCTTGTTTGGGACGTCCAAGCTCAAAGTTTCTCCAAATCCTTTCCACAGGGGTGTCTTCTCATTTAAGAAATGGAGCAGTCTGAGGATTATACATGCGTGAAATCATACGGACCTAACCCGAAAACAACTCATATATACGATAACCGCGTTGTAAAGAGCTGCTGCAGTACATTAGATGAGCCTGAATGTGCACCAAAGAGTGATTATTTTCTCAGCTTTTGCCACACATGCAAGAAGAATCTTGAACAGAAGACAGAAGATTGACATTTACATTTACAGGTTCACTTTCCTTCTTCCTCCTCGAAACCCGATTTGATTTTATTAGGTATAATGCATAATCTGATCATTTGTGTGCTTTTTACAATGCATAGGGGAGAGCTTTGGGAGTGCCAATATCAGGAGATGATCCTCCATGGAGAGGAGAATTAAGAACAATTTCATTTCATCAATGATTTGCATAAATTAACTTTATTTTTGGTTTGTGGGTGTAAAGGTTGTAAGTTATATTATCTTTGTAGATGAACGCTTAAAGTATAAAGCGATTAAAATAATAGCAGTAGGAGGGAAAGTTTGATACTTTGTGCAGAGTTATCAACAAAGAGGAAGCTTTTTCATGCATGCAAAATATGAGCATTTCAGGGGCTCGAACTACCAGTTTTAAAGAGAAACTACATTCCCATCTATAATAATATAATAGCATTCCAATAAATTCATATTCCGACTTAATAAAGCATCAAAATGCATAAATAGAAATTAAAAAAAGTCACACTGCACTTTGAAGTCTTGAACATTAACATGGCACTTTAAGCAAAACACGAAACTCGTCCAAAAGAACGCGTAAACAGACGCTGAAAACAAACATTTCCGAGACAGTTGATGGATACAGATATGGTTCCTAAAAGCTTGCATTAAAGGCAACTAACACCAACACATCTACGTTTAACAAAAGCCTCCTGAAAAGACTTAGCCCAGTGGCAGCTACCTGTTGAAAATCATAATAGAGCAGAGCATTAGTAATGATTAACAAAGAACAAGATAACATTAAACATCTTGAGAAAGGAAATACCTTGTAAGTAGCTTGGCACAGTCAACAATCTCAATGAGAGATGGCTCCGATGGAACACGGTAACAGAGCGGGGCGGTAGGCACTAGGATGAACAAGACACGAACAACACTTCCAAATGGGGATGGAAATGATTAACCTAACAAGTTTAAGAGATGACAAATAACCACTTTACTTTTCCTTACCACCTTTTTCTTTACAAAAAACAGAAAAAGATGATAAGGGGAAACAACGGAGAAATCCCAAGTAAGAGTGTATCAAGGATATTTGATTGTTAAGCAGCCAATTCAGGCAATGCTGGAGAAAAGAGAAGAGTTGTAAGAAAACGAAAGTTCATATAGGCAGGCTAATTTAGTCTAAGGTTGTAAAAAGAAACAAAGGGGCATTGAAATTAGACTCATAGAAACTAAGGGCAACACTAATTGTAGAGCAAGGAAAAAAAGATGAGAAAAAGAATACAAAAGAAACCTAAGGAATTTGGATAAGCAATTTAGTAAGGGATCTACCGACTACAGTATATACACTGTATCAGACACTTAAGGAGGAAATCAGCTCAAGGACAACAACTAAACGGACATTAACCACCAAGTACTTGATAGAGTAAAGTCCTACGCTACTAAGTATATAGTTTCCTTTGAACCCATGGGATAAGAAGGAAGTCATCAGTTTGAATTCATGTCAATCCAAAGAGGGCAGACAATGTTTGATTCTAATGAAAGCTCCCCTTAGCTTCCTGAATAGCCGAGTCATCTTCCATCCAAGCTTACAACACCCAAAAATGCATACCTTCAGCATCGAGTCAATCAAAAGTTCCCATAACCAGCATCAAACTCTCATAAACCACCATAAAGGAAAGTTCGGAGATTGTCGACCTGCCATTGCCATTACTTTCTCATTTCATCACCCAAAGAAAGCTTAAACCAACACATACCGACCCATGCTACCAACCATCTTATTAAACCTATATACAATCTAAAACTAACTCCAAAATTTGCACAGCAAACTTATTTACAGGAGCTCAAGAACTCCTCCACTCATTTCAGTAATCAGTATCGTCGAGGTTGAGAATGCGACGCAAAGCCTTAGTCGCAGACACAGAGTCAGCACTCCGAAAAAGTTCAGCTACAGATGGGCTAAGCTCCCTTGTAGGAGATGCAGGTGCAGACTTAGCAGTTTGGTGAACATCGACAACAGGGGCAGCAGCAGGCAAATCAAGTGACACAGTCCTCTTCATCCGAAGCGAGAATTTGGGAATAGGCAAAGAACTTGGTGGTGGCGAATTAGAATAAGCAGGTCCAGCCCAAAGCTCAGAGTAAAGAAAACCTTCCCCAGAAATCTCCTCAGTAAAAGGCTTACCATTTCTAGGGGTTATATTGCTGTTGATAGGAATGGGAGAGCTTTTCATGGTAGCTTTCCCTTTCGAGTGTAATCCATCAGCAAAAGGAGATGGTGTTTTGGGGGAAGACGGTGAAAAGGGAGGGGAAGATGGCTTTTTGGTTAAAAGAGTAGAGTTATACTTAAACGGGGTCGGGAGTCCTGCTCTGGATTGAGAAGTCCTGCAGTTAGCCCCTCTGAAATTTCTAGATGGTGGTGATGACCCAAACCCAGCAGGCACATGTGGCTTCACTCTGCTACAGTATTGATTCCTATGTTGCGCCACCACAACAAGTGTCTCCATAACTTTGCTTAATTTCGATAATCAAAACCACAAATCCAACGATTTCAGCTCGGTCCTATTACAACCCAACAAAGAAAAAGAAACCCAGTCCTTCTAAACTCCCCTAAATCCTTGTTAAGTAGACTAAAGGTAACAACTTTAAAAGGCAAAATCATGCCCAGAACATCTCAGTCATTGCAGATACAAATTAAGATGGTAACTAAAATCGAACCGATTAACTTCTGTCTAGAACTACTGGGTCAGAAAACTCCTTAGATTCAAATAAACAACTCACAATTTTATAACCTCGAATCAGACAAGACCTTCATAGATCACAACCATCAGTCATCAAAACTGCAACAAAACAAAAACAAACTTTAAATAAAAAACAAGCATGAATCAGAGGGTAATTTCTCGTGGAAGCTTGGGAGAGGAAAAACTACCGGAAAAAAGTGTTTTCCCTTGAGAAATGTTGCAGATCGAAGTGAGATGTAAATATTGTTTAGATCTGAAAACGGAGTGAAACTCGCTTCTTTTTTTCGTTTCCTTCTTGTTCTGCTGGAGAAGGATGATTTCATGTAAATGAGTTCTTTGTGTCCTTTGATTTCAGGGAATTTAAACAAAATATATCTCTATTTCTTTTGTTTTGGGTTCAAATCATCAAAAACGCCATGGAATTGAGAGTGGGGATGTGTTGGAGAGGTTGGGAGATAGAAAGGAAGCAGACGCTCACGGATCTGAAATGACTTTCTCACAGTTAAATTTAAATATCATTCCATGTACCACATGTTCCTCCATCCCTTTGTTTTTTTACTCAAGTAGTCCTCGTCGTTTTACATGATTTATCATTTTGATATTTATAAATTTTTTAAGTCTAATTCGGCAAAATACCTAAATAACGAGTTTAAAAAAATAAATTCTCTAATTAAGGATTATCATATTTTTTCATTGCATTGTGCCAAAATAGTTTACCGATCTAATTCTATTTTTTAACCTTTCTACGTATATTTAAATTTTAATTATTTTTTATGTTTAAGAATTTAATTGTTTTATTTTTTTAATAATTGAACTGTAATCAATAACAACCTAAAAAATTGTAAATTGGGATTTAATTATTAAATAAAAATAAATAAAACAAACCTTTAAATTTTGAAATTGAGAAATCAAAATTTAGATGTATGAAAATACAAAAATAGATTTATAAATTAAATTTTCTTTCGAATTTACACATCGATCCAATAAGATAGAATGTTAGATTTTTAAAATTAGAAAGCTTTTGAAGTAAATTTGATATAAAATCATTGTTCAAGGTTGTATTTGATGTTTTAGCAATAGTTTAGAGGTAAAACTAAATATTAACCTTTTTGTTAACGTTATCACGTCATCAATTTAACAGAAATAACAGTGGAGTGATCATTTTATTACAAATTGATACGTTAGTTACCAATTTGGTACTTTGAAACTTTAGCAGGGAAAGCGAAAACTTACTGGAATATTAGTGACCATTGGTGTAGTTTATCCTAAAAAATAATTTGAATAAAATTACTTATTTGTATTATTAATTTTTATTTTTTAAAAAATAATTAAAATAAATATTTTTAACAAACGCTTAATTATTAAATCAAACAATAAAAAATGTTTCCAAAATTACTTTTAACCTTACTTTTCAAATGTAATATTAATTACTTTAATTATATTTTCGTTTAATAATGATATTTAGTCTATTGATCATATAATTCAAAACAAACATAATAAAAATTTATTATGAGACAATTCCTCTAATATAATTCTTTTTATTTTAAGAATCGAATAATATAAATTAATAACCCTAATATTAATATAAAACGTGAAAAATCTCACCGCTCCCTACCAAGATGACAAAAGATATACACGTGTCGGATTTCTGTTGAATTCATTTCCCCACTCTTTTACTCTAGACCGTCCGATGAGAAAAATGAAGGGAGCATCCACGTTGTTCCTTTCTTTGCCTGGTGGGTTGAAAAAGCTGCCAAAGCTAAAAAAAAACGAAACGTTCCATTCAGCTTTTACTTTGGGTTTCCATTGCACGCCGAAAGCCATTCCAAATGCTTTTCTTAATTGTTAAATATATTGAGTACAGAGTTTTGCTTTGTCCCCCTGATAGGCTCAACTTTAAAAATAAAATATAAATTTATCTCACACTAAATAAATTAAGGATAAGTTATATAAATGATCATTTTCGTTCTGAGTTTTATACTTTTTTTTAATAAATTTAAATAACATAATATTTGATCATTTTTATTTTGTTCTAATTAAAATATTGTCACTAAAAATTAACGGACGTTAAATCTTTGACGGTTTACTGACGTGACATGATAAATAATAAAATTAAAATTATATCATTTTCACATAGATAATTCGTGAATTAAGTTTTGGTCGCTTTCCTTTTATATTTGTACACTTTTACTCACTAAATTTAAGAAACATAAGTTTTAGTGACTTACACTATCATTTTATTAAGTTTTGGTCACTTGGGCGTTGAATGTCACTAGTTTGATGACGTAGCTCGTTAGTAAAATGGTTTAATTTTTATTTTAACCCCTAAACTTTAGACAAAATACTAATTATAAGTGTTTTTTGTAAATTCAAATTAGTTTAAGGACAATATTTTAATTTATCCATTTTTAATAGGTTTTCTTCCCAGTCCCATTATTGTTCATCTTCTCTATGCTTTTCTTCGGACATCTTTGCTCCATTACTTTCTTTCAAGGACTCGTGTTGTATTTCAAGAATAATGTAAGATTTCTAACTTCTGGTAACAAATAATAACACCACAAGTTCAGATAAAACTAAGGGGTAGGCATCTAGATATAAAATGAAGCCAAGTAATCTCAATTATATAAACTAAAATTCAATTTTCAAAGATTGAGATTGCAAAATGTCAAATCCAATAAGGAACAAGAAGGCAAATCAATGGATCCAAATAACTTAATAATTGAATATCATTCTTCGTGGTGATTTCCCCTTTAGAAAGCACCTCTAGTGAAACATAATCAATGAATTTAAACAACCCGATAATTGGATTTGTGAATTCATCCACTAAACTCAATCCAAAATCCACAGTCTTTAATGTCGAATCTTTGTTTTTGCTCAAGAGCAAGCAATTTCCGATTATAGATCCCTATGAACAATGTTCGCCTTTTGAATCACCATTAACACTTGTGGCCTGCGCGACATTACACATCATCACCACCGCATCGACCTCCAAGTATGTAACACCTATAACCCGTATACATCTCGAAATACAAGTTAAAGATGTTAAATCAACTTTACATACATTCAATGATCATATACGCTTAAAAACTTGTTTCATTTCAAAAATTTTCATTTTTCAACTTTAAACTATTTCATCAATCGTGTAAAATCATAAAATAATATTTAAACAAACGAATCCAGTTTTAGGCAATAATTAGGGTGTTTAATGCTATACTCACAAAATATTTAAAAATCTATCTAAATACTGCTTAATTAGAAAATCATTTTAAAAATAAATGTATATATATATATATATATATATATATATTCAATTATAAATACGAATATAACTAGACTAATAAAAAATAAAATGTCATAGTTTACTATTACATACCATTTAAAACAATTCTGATAAAACATCATACAAATATAATATACATGCCACTAATAAGTCAAAGGTAAGATGTCTTACTGATACTAATATTAAGTATGATTTTTTTAAAAGAGACTCAAGAGGCTCCTAACTTCACGTTCCTTTCTCTATTTGAACATAAGCATGAAAATCATCACACTCTAAGTAAACTTAGTGAGGCAATAACATAGCTAAGGTGAAATAAAACATTAATATCATAATGTAGTATAAACATAAAACTGTAATTTAAACAAAAATATTAAAACTTTCAAACCGAGCTATCTAAGCCGTTTTTCTCTTGAAAACTTGAAAATCATTATCTCATGATTTTATAAAAAATCATGTAAGTTAACATTAAATATAACAAATAATTATTATTCTTTTCATTCATATTAGGTGTGGCAAGGGAATCTGATGTGACAAGAAGACCGTTCGAATTCCTCCACTAAATTTTATCAAATTTAAAATTTGGTTCCAACCAACTTTATAACTTAAAACTCCAGCATTTCAATATTATAAATCAACATTGAGTTCTTGAATTAGCACATTTACACGCTAAGATCCCACAATTCCCAAAACTTGCTATATAGTCCTTTTTACTATTTCAAGCTTCCAAATTAACCCCAATTGATCTATAAATCACATAGAATACTTCTAATATCAATTCTAGACCATAAGAAGTTTTTCAACATTTCCCCCCCAATTTATTCCCCTATGGTCGAATATATTAGGTTCCTATAAGGCTTGATTTCCATTCAATTTCATTCATAAATTCAACTTCTTTACATCAAATTCATGTTCTTCTAATCATCACAACTTCCTTGCCATAATAATTTGTGTTATCATATATTTTTAATATGTTTTTAGGGAATCTGATTTGACAAGAAAACCTTGGAAGGTGTGCCCCTTGAAACGCATTTGGAAGGCACGCTTCAAGAAAAATATTATAAAAGATTGGTAAAATTTGGGCAAATGGTGCTAGATAGGTAATATTATAATTTAAAAAATTCATTTAATTACTCACTTTCAAATTATTTCTATTTCAGTCACTCTAGTTTATTTTGTTTATAATTTTTGTGATATGATATTTTTTATTAGTTTTATTAATATAATTAAAAATAAAAAATAAAATTGAAATTTAGAGTGATTAAATTAGGAGTAATTTAAAATTTAAATATATAATTTTTTAAAATATTAAACTTTAGTGATTAAAATATAAGAGCGGGGAAATAGTTGAGTGATGAATAATGTAAGTTACCTATATAAAAATGTAACGTGTAAATCATTTGTTAAGTTTTTAATAGTGAAGTACTAAAACAAAAATAAAAACGAAACAAAAATTAAAAGTTTAGGTATTAAAATGAATCTAGATTTATAGTTTAGGTATTAAATGCATAATTTATTTACAAATATAAAATAAATTTTAAAGAGATTATTTTATCCTCTTGCTCTCAAAATATTTTAAGAACATTTGATTTAGAAAACGTAAGGTTGTCTTTGGAAATAATATTACTGAAATATAACATTATTATGGTCTATGGGAATATTGTATTATCTTCTTTTATTTGTTTAGCGGGAATGTAAAATTATAGTGTTTGGTTGGAGAATATAAGGTTACTTAAATACATACTTTACCAAATTATATATTCTTATGATATATGTTTTTAAAAAAGTTAAATATTAATATTAAATTATTTTTTTGAATTAATCATTGGTATCTGATCTATTGATCAACTAATTCATATTTGACGCCAAGATTCGAACTCCTGATCTTACTTAAGGAATCTAGTGTCTCATCCCACTAGACCAACTAGTTATTGGTATATTAAATTATAAATATTAAATATTTTAATCATTATATTATCTAACTTTTGAGAAGAATATATTTAATATATAATTAATATATTAAAGTTATATATTTAAAAAAAATTATAATTATCATATTTATTTATATAAAATTTAATATAATATAAAAATAATATTATAATGGAATGTAAGATATATTTTTTACTAACTTAAACTTATATATTATTTTGAATAATTATATGTTTATAATAATATTATTTTTTACCTCATAAAATTATAAATAATTAATATATTAAATGTTAAAAATATAAAATAATTTTAAATGCTCAAAATTTGTAATATTCTACTCAATTAAAATCTTTGTATATTATTATTATGTTTATAATCTTGAGTAACATATTAAAAATAAAAACTGAGAAGGATCATTATAAAAATTATTTATTAGTATAGGAGTATTCATGTCCAAAGTGTTGGGAATTGTCTAATACCTAAAATTTGAAGGTAATGATATTCTCAATGTTTTAACAAAAAAATGTTATTATTGGCAAAATTATGATAATAATATTTTTGTGAATCAAACATATAAATGTAATTTTTGAAAAAAGTAGTGATATTTTCGCGAACTAAACGTCCCCTTTATGTCATATTATTAAAAAACTAATTTTTCTTCTAATATTTAATGTATTATTATTTGGCGATATAGATGAAATATCAGTATTTTCAAATTAATTTGATTTTAAGAAATTAGATTCAATTTGAAAATAATTATATTCGACAATTTTAATAGATTAAAGAAAATGATAAATAGTGAGATCGGTTGGGGATATTATGTTAGAGTGGATAACCAAAAAAATTGTAATAACATATAATGATTTATTTAATAATATTTAATATTAATATCAGATTTGGTAATTATAATGATTACTTATAAATCAATTACGTAATTAACATATAAATAAATATGATAATCAGATCTGATTAAAAATATTAATTAAATCATTAATAATTATGTTAAGAGATTGTATTAATAGTCATATTAAGAGATTGGATTTCGTTAAAAGATATAAAAATTTAACTAATATATGGATTATTTTAGAGATTTAATTAGTTCAGAGTGATACGAGATATATGATTTAATTAATTAATTTAAATTAAGATTTAATAATTAATAATTTTAATCAAATTTAAGTGAACAAACTGATAATTAGATTTAATCAAATTTAAGCTCGAACAAATTATGAGAAGTTCTAACGTACGGCGACCTTAATATACGGCTAAGAAAATATGTTATCGGAAATGTTATTATTTTTAACATTTAACGTAAAAATTACCTAAAACATTATTTTTTTAACATTATTTTTGGTAAAAATAATAATATTTAAATAATTTTTTATCAAAAAAATTAAAATAATAATAATATTTTTTATAGCATATTTTCTTAATCATACATTAAACTGTCACACGTAATACTTCCGTACAAATTATAACTCAAAAGAACTTAAATTTATATTTTGATGTTCTGGTAAGTACGTATCACCTACCATATGACATAGATTTTCCATACGTCTCTTTCAAGTGCTAACACGTGTAGTTAAAAGTCACGTTGTCGAGACAACAAGACACCACCGTGACCAAGGTTGTCTGCCGCACCGAACCAGCGGCTCCGTCCTTAAATAATCCCCATGCAACCGCACCACATTCACATTGCTCCTTTCCTTTCTTCATTTCACTTTACAGTCTCAATACTTCACTAAACCATGAGCCAGCAACAACCCCGAAGGCCTCAGCCTGATTATTCCCGAGTTCAAGAGGAGCCCATCAAGTACGTTGACGTTTTTAACGTCACCGGTGAACTCGCTTCGAAATCTATCGCACCACTAGATGCATCCGCCATGCAGTCGGCTGAGACCACGGTTCTTGGACAGACGCGGCGAAGTGGTCCTGCATCTGTCATGCAATCCGCAGCCAATGTCAATGAAAGGGCAGGAGTCGTTCGCCGCAATCAAACAGATGTTACCGGAGATGAAGGCGTCACCGTAACTAAGTCCACCGCGGTTGGCGAAGTCTGGATCACCGAAGCCGTTGAGGGACAGGTAAACATTATAAAAACTTGTTTAATTATTAACCTGTTATATATCAACGTTATCTTGTTGAGAAAATTAGGTTATCGGGCAATACATTCAACCCGAAGTTCCAGCGGATATCACTCCGACATCATCGTTCGGTACCGACCCTATAACGGTCGGGGAAGCTTTGGAGACGGCGGCCTTATCTGCTGCCGATAAACCCATCGACCAGAGCGATGTAGCCGCCATTCAAGCGGCTGAAAGAAGAGCTACTGGGTGTAACGAGACACTGCCTGGCGGTGTGGCGGCAGAAGCACAATCTGCGGCCACCCGGAATTCCCGAACTATGCGGTCCGAAGATAAAGCCACCCTCTCCGACGTTTTATGTGTAATAATCCCACGTTACACCCGAATCACTATTATACTATGGAGTGGTATTAGTGAGAAAAGAAAAAGTAATTAAAAAGGTTTGGAAAAACGGTGCAGGATGCAAGTTCAATGCTGCCTAAAGACAAGGCGGTGACGGCTGAAGATGCCGATAGGGTAGTGGCGGCGGAGATGAGAAATAATCCTGACATGACGACCACGCCTGGTGGAGTGGCTGCGTCTATGGCTGCAGCAGCTAGGCTTAATCATAATTTCACACCTTAAATCGCTCCAAATACCAATTCGGTAATCTTAATCGGGCCCTTTTTATTTGAAGTGAAGTCATGTATGGTGTGCTCTACGGTTTTGAACTAGTACATTTGAATGTCTTATGTAGATAGATGGTTTTAAAATAATAATTTATGTGTTTTGGTCCATTTGTGCTTTAATAAATGCTCATCTTTCTTCGTTGAGATGGAACGTCAAGAAAATGTCTCGTCTTGACCAATTTAATATTATCATATTACACAATATATAAATCAACTTAATATCCTTATGTTACACAAAAATGTAAGGACAAACAGAAATGATCATTAAAAAAAAACTTTAGACACATTGATAGGACCATTAATATATATTTTATCTGGAATATTCTACACATAATAATAGAGCCATTTATAGGATTTTATGTGGATCGATGCTTTCTCTGAATTGTCACTGTCAAGCATAAATCTCCTTGGGTTTCATTCTACCTCACACACATGACTAACAAGGATTATTGTCCAATTTCTTTACAGGTCAACGGTAGGGGCTGTGGTTTTAGATTGAACACAAGCAAAAGGGTAGTTGGGTTGAAGCAGATTGAGCCCACCATGTGGTACCTCTGTTTGGCTGGACCATCCTATTCCACTTACCCTAATCCGCAACCAGAAGGGCCTTCCCCCCCCCCCCTTTTCCTTTCGTGCATTAGCAACTTCAATTAATTAGGGTACTTTTAAAGCAAGCATTCATTTAATCTCCCTCCAAGGTCTTTCTCGGTGGTGTCGACAGCCAATCTAGGATCACATTAACCTGTTTTGCAATAAATAATCTAGGTCATTCAATAAACTATATCATTAGTTAACAATTTTGTTTTTTCTTTTAAATAGACGTATATCTTAAAATATAAAAAGTATTAATGATTTGGACTAAATTCGATTTTAAAATTATTAAGTGTCTTTCGTGATCAAATGGAACGTTATTTTCTTAAAAAGACTCGAATTCGGACGATAATATTTACAATATATATCTTATTAATAGACTAAGAAATATTATATATACTTACTATTTTGTTCTCATCTCAAATTACCTAACCTTCTTAAAACTATACCTACAAAGTTAAAACACACAATGATATGATGTGAACATATTAGTCTACTTGCCACTTTAAGTTTTCAATGTCATTTTAAAAATAATTTTATATTTTGTGAAGGCGAGTGAGTAATAAATTGTGCACATGATTAAACGATACATTGGTCCATGTTGCACCAAAAAGGGTGATGGATATATGCTTATGTCATGTCACTATTAATTAGAGAAACTAAACTTGTTTAAAAATTCTGGGGTAAACTACTCACTTGAGCACTTAACTATTTAGTCTTCTACTTTTGTCACCGATCTTTCAATTTTGTCAATCACACCACTTAACTATTTAATTTGTTCAATCATACCATTAACCGTTAATATTTGACGGAAATGTTGACATTTAAAAGAATTGATATATTTTTATATTTAGTTCTTAATATTTATATATTATTTCAATTTAATCATTATTTAAATTTAATTTAATAATTTTTTATTTAATCGGGTGGTGACCAATCAAATTTAAATTTAATTTAATAATTTTTATTTAATCGGGTGGTGACACGATTGGATAGAAAATAAAGAGGACGAAATTCGCTCTTGGATGAAATTGAACATGAGCCAAATGGATGGATAGCAACACCCCAACCACTGCACCAAACTTCTCAAATGGTTTATTATTTACAACAAATTGTATTTATCCTTTTAAAGATGGATAATGGTAAAAGAAAATAAAAGTAAAAGTAAATTAGAATTAATTTTTTTAATATTTGATTCAATTTAAAATATTAATAAATTAATTACTGTTGATTATAAAAAATATTTAAAAATATTTATTATTAATTGATTTTAAATTGATGATTAAATTTTACTACAAATTAAATTGCTTAAAACCGTGTTTGGTTTAATATCAAGATTCTGTTCTTTTAGGAAAAGTTTATTAATGTTTAGGAATTTATTTAATTCTGAACTGTCATTAAAAGCTAATAATAAAAAAAAAACAAATTAAGTGATCCTTACAATTTATTTATATTTTAAATATAATACCCTTTGTTTTGAATAATTTTATTTTTATTTGATGTTAGCTATAATACTTTATATGATTCTTTAAAAAAATTAATTGTATAAAGATCGAGAAATTAATAATAAAAATTAAATATACAAATAAAAAAATATTTGATTCAAATATTTTTTAATATTTTTATAATCAGCAATAATTAATTTATTTTTACTTCTATTTTCTTTTACCATTATCAAACTTAAAAAGGATAAATGCAATTTGTTGTTAGTATTAAACCATTGGAGATGGTTGGTGCAATAGCTGGGTGTTGTTATCCATCCATTTTGTCCCAGGCTCAATTCTGCTCAAGAGCAAATTTCATCCCTTTATTTTTCTATTCAATCGGATGATGACACATGTTACCTCTTGATTAGATAGAAAATTTATTTAAATAAATAAATTTAAATTAATAAAAAAATCCTCGATCATGTACTAACACGTGTCATGCTCCTGTGCTGACACATGTTAAATCTTAATTGAATGATTAATTTATTAAATTAAATATAAATTATGACCAAATTAGAGAATATATAAATATTAAAAACTAAATGTAAAGTTATATCAATTCATTTAACTGTCACATCATTATTTTCATTAAATATTAACAACTAATGGTCTAATTAAACAAATTAAATAGTTAAATGGTATGATTGATAAAATTGGAGAACGGTGGCAAAAGTAAAAGGACTAAATAATTAAGTGGTCAACTAAGTAGTTTACCCAAAATTCTTAACAAAAACAACTTGGTAAACAGAGCATTGGTGATGAAATGTGCATTTAACAGAGTGCATGGGACAGTCACCATATTTACAAAAACCGCAATGGCGTTTAGCTACTCTAAACAATTCTGTTGGCCTATACTGCACATAGAGGGGAGGGAAAAAACACCGAATGCATCCCTAAAGCTAGCCTGCCATGGCATCCATAATCCAGGGCTCCAACTGTTAGTTTTTTTTCATAATTTGAACCATCAAACATCTGTATCGTACAGAAATCTAGTAGCTGCCATTCAAAAACAGACACTCGATCTTGACCACATCAAACAAAACAGGAGCTTGTTTAAACAAAACTATCACCTCAGGTTATAGTGTAATTCACTCCTCTGATGGAAACATGGTGAAGAGCCACTTTGGAATTTAGAATTCATGTTATGTTCCATAATCACGGTCAACTTGAGATCTCGTTTAAGGATGCCATGGGGATTTGGTATATTCAACTGTCATATTAGTAAATATATTACCTTTCAGATATATCAGACTGTGTTGCAGTTGATGTTTATCTGATCAGGAATGTTAGTAATGGCAACCTTGGAACCTGCGGAGACAATCTCTGTGGACATGCGCATGCACTGCTGCAATTTTTCATTTATGGAAGCTTCATTGCAATCTGTATGGGAACTTACATCGATTGGAGCCGAAACTTCACTGCAAGTATCCATCTTGTCACCCTGTTGGGAAGGACTACATGTACTGACATTGGATGCGGCATTATAATGGCCATTTGCAGCTTGTTGAGCACTTCGGGGAGATGATGGAGAAGTTTGGTTGGTGACTCTTCGGAAGTAGCTTGGCAAATTTTTGCTTCTTCCGACTGAAGGACTGCCTTGTCAAAACAAGAAACACATTCTACCATCATCTCTAATTTTGAACTCTCATGGTGCTTCGAGTCATTTGCATCCTCAGATATCATAACTGTACCATCAAAACCATTAGTAACAATTTCCTTACCAGAATCCGACACATGAACTGCCACTTCATTGTCGGCCTGGGCAATATTAAGGTTCCGTTTAACAAAACTTTCATCAGGTGCTGGAATGCAAAATGAAGAAACAGTGCCAGCCTCGGGAAGATTGATAGTATCAGCCATTAAATCAGAAGTATATTTCAAGGTATCATCAGGAAGTGGCATTGTAGATTCAACAGCAGCGGGTTCATTTCTATCATCTGTTTCAGGTGCAGGACTCTCGGCAGAGACATTCAAATCAAACATAACCGTGCACTTCTCTCCAGATTTATAGCACGCCTCACCCGTCATCTGCTCCTCCGCAACATGCGTCTGCAAAGGTTTCTGTAACATGTCTACACCGGGAAAGGCCAGCATATTCATGTTCCTCATCTTTGGCTTGCATGCAGTTTCTAGTGGTTTGAAACCAAAGACAGAAGTCCATGTTTCACTCAGTTCTGGGACGGCAGGTATGACTAATTTCTCAACATTCAGAGAGCCGAGGGCCTGAAAAACAGGGAAATAGAAAAAGGAACATAAAAAATGAAATTCACTTGAAATATATTAATTACAATTAGAAGAGCCTAATTTCATATCACTGTCACTCTATTACTCTTTTCAGGCATACTTACAAATATTTGACTAAAACACCCGTCACCTATGAATTTTCCTGTATCTCTAGGTTGAAGGGAAAAAGTTATATCATATCTGGTCATAATGTATACTCTTTTGATAAAAAAAGAATATATTTATTAAGTACTACATAAATGATAGAACATGTAAATGTCAAAGTTCGTAAAAATGAAATCAATACTCCAGGTATACAATACAAAATGCAAATATAAAAAGAAACAAAGAGAACAATGAGTCAGACGTACAGATTCAATTGCACAAAGAAGCCGGCGACACATCCCTTGACGCCTGTAGATATACCGTGTCCCAATGAAAGGCATCTCAGCTAACAGGTTTCCATGGATCCTGTCAGTCCAATAATTAAATAATTGTAATTATTAGGATTAAACCAAACAAGTGCAAAATTTAGGCGAATGGGTAGGTTCATTAGTTTATGATCAACAATATCAAATATTACAAGGTAGCATTTGGAAACTTGGATTATAAATTTGGAATCAGGCTTAAATGATGGTGTGGATTGAGTGAATACCTAGAAAACTACCATTCATTATTATTTCTCAAATCCATGGATTTGTTAGATACTTATTTAGTAGTGAATTTGAAATTCCTAGTATATTTTTGGATTTTATATCCATTTTTTATAGTTTTTCAACTATATATATTATTGAATCTTTTCTTAACTACTTCATAATGTATGCATTTCATTCTTGCTATTTACATAGCAAATGGAATCCAATGGAGCACAAAGGTTTGTATGAGTATGAAACAAACAGCAATTTGTTAAATCCTCAGTATCAATATATTTACATATTAGTAGACTAGATGCTATTTGGAAGGGGAGCTAACGGAACAAAATAGTTTAAAATGTAAATGTCTAGAAACTATCAGCAGAGGAACAAAAGAAGGTGATCAAGAGCACTTACAAGGATGAGTCGGCATGGCAAGATATCCATCTCATATTACAACTCTTAAAATGTAAAGACATTATTTCTACATCCGATCCTATAATTTGCAATGACCTAAAAACAAAAGGATTACCTGATGGATGCTGCAGAGATAATCTCATCCCCCCTTTCTAGAATTGCAGTGTAAAAACCACTGTAGTTTAGCCTAGTGAAGTTTGACCTGAGAACAAAGGAGATAATAATTTACCTGAAACAAAAATGTCTTGGTCTTATTCAGTTTCAAAAGCAGAGCAACTATAATTGTGAAGAAAAATCAAATCACTTCACCATAAAGAAGGCACTAGGTTGTCTCCCAAATATTCACATAGCAACAATAGTACCACTCAACCACAAAAAGAATGACACATGCCAATCTTTTAAAATGGAAGCCTTCAAAAAATTCATATTGTTATAGTAACTATTATAATGTACGTCATATTAAGCCATCACTATATGTGTTGCCTGTCTCGATTGTTTTTATCGACACATTTAGAACTGTTTGCTATCATCTAAACTTTAAATTAGGGCTAGGGAAACAATTATTCAAGCCTATAGTTTTATCTCCTAAATCTGCAGACCTAGGGCAACATTAGCATTGCAAAAAAGTTCTCTAAGCACTTAAGCAGAAAGGTAACAGTCATTCAACAACTTATGCTTCCTCGGACATACTAAACTTTAAATTAGGGCTATTGAAGGACGCAGTTCTGCTCACATCTTTGTTGCCAAAACCCAAAAAGGAACAAAAAAGAAGACATTCGTACAGCACCTAGCTAAAAAAAACCATACTTCTCAAATTATAGTTAGAAGGAAAAACATACCAAAAATTATAGACAATATTATGAATCAGATTGATCCCACTTCTGTGGTCAACAAGAGGCAAAAAGCACTCATCCATCACAGTTAATGCAACAGCTAGCTTTGAATTTGATTCAACCTTCTGATATGCTTCATTGAGACAAACATCTGAACTGATATCAAAGCGCTGAACAAGGGTCCATGAGAAGCCTTCTGGAAGTTCATGTTTAACCCCAAAGCTTCTGAAGTCTCTCAAACAGCTAGACAAAACAAAGGACTTCAAAATCAAATTCAAAACATGAAAAATAGCAATCCCCCCCTTCCCTGTTTCAAAAGGGTGAGGTATTAATGGATTCTACACATTCAAAGTCAGAGCATAACATGTCTGCAAATGAGTAGCTCTCAAAGAGAGTCAGAGATCGGTTGAATGCACACAACAGGATGGGGCTTCCTTCCTGTTCTTGCTAAACATAATGCACAAGATGGGATAAATTTAGTGTCTAAACTCAATAACAGAAACATCTCTAGTAGATAAAGAATCTTAAAAAGAAATAGAGACAACCCTTAAATTTGAAAAAGTGAGAACCACAATAATTTCATACCAGCAGGCAAACTTAACTAACAGTAAAAAATAGCAATTAAAACTATATTTGCAAATCTAGCAAACTACAAATTCCCCATGGCACAATTATATCAATTGCAAACCAAAATTATACCTCTTTGCATCTCCTCCCGCAAAAGAATGCACTACTTGAATCATCATCAAAAGCGTCAGTTGGCTGAATACATGGTTCATGATCTACCCAAAAATTCCTTCAGAAATGAATGGCATATAATAGCAAGAACGGTAATAATGGCACCAAAGTTAAAATAAAGGTCAAGGGGAATCAACAATCAACATAAACAGAACAGCTTGGAACTTAACAAAGGCATACATTTTTCTTCACATAAATGGCATGTTAGAACTGAAAGAACTGCATCATCATCTTTGCTCCTATGATGTGCATTTCCAACCATCCCACAATATTTGCATGTACAGTGCACACAGTTCCAGTTTCCTGAAGGGAATGCCTGTGGCAAAGAAAAGAAAAACAGAAGCGTAGATTAAGCACGATCAAGACTTTAATTTTCCCTGAAACTAAAATTTACTTCTACATGTAACTCCCAAAGAGAGAAAAAATAGAAATAGAGTTCTCGGATGCAGGTTTCCTTCTGGCTACTTCTCACAAATGATTTGCATTGAAGTAACTTCCACAAAGAAACTCCTTTCCAAAAGCCTCCAACAAAGATTTCCGAGCCTAAGTTTCAATCTATGCTTGTTGATCTAAATTGCTCTCACTGTTTGATCTTAGTGAATAGTCTTAACATGAATATACAAACGGGTATTCTTACACAACCAATTCCATTGATCAAATAGATTTCATTGTCTGGTAAAGTAAAAAAAAAAAATTAAGCATTTTCTCAGATTTTTCATGTGTTCTAGTACTGAAAAATTGTTTTTAAGAAAATAAAAGTTGGTAAAGGGAGCTAGATCCCATATGCATGTACTAAAGGCATATGGCAACAAGTACTTACTTCTATATCCAAGCAACTTTGATGGAATGTTGATGGGCAACTATCACAACATATCAAATCACCACCATCCCCACAAATACCACAGGTATCATCATTTGGGTCTTCACCACCAAAAAAAATGGAGGCCCTTACGATCAGATGTTGTTGTTTGTTCCATGCATCTAATAAGCATTGCAACAGGGGAACTCCTGTTTCTAAACATATATTCTGCAAAGGTGATGGCATTGCTCCTCGCATGAGTTTCAAACTCTGCAATGGTGAAGACATCACTACAACAGTTGCATTGAATGCCATCCCTAGTTATCTTACCAGACATACTCTCACGAGTACGCATTCTTTTTTGGATCAAATAATCTACCTTCCCATCCTGTGGAACAGTGCCTGAATCAATCATCCAAGAAAGCAGTGTTCGTTCCTTCATAGCACATAACTACCACTATCAGATTCAGCTCCATCCATAGAGTTGCGGACCAACAAAGCATATCGCTTTCTCTTTGTGTCTGCTGTAGCTTACGGTTCCTGCTTGATACTTGTATTCCTCTTTGCAATGTAACATCAGAATTTATCTCTTCATGAAGTGAAAGCTTCCCTTTTGGGACCTTCTGTTTTTTCTTTTTGGCATTGTCCTCCCATTTCCTTCTTCGTTTATTCATTTTCTTTTTCACCTGTCCATCATCCTCTGTATCATCATCCTCCCCTTTTGGCTTCTTTTTCCGACCCTTTTCTTTTTAATTATTCTTTTTAGGATGCTAAGTTCTTCTTCAGGAATCGGAGTAAATAAGAAACCATTTGGACAAACCTTCGAGTCACCATTCTCATAATTCTTTTTAAGCCTCCTGTAGGCCAACGTAACTGACCAGTGAGTCTTCCTTCAGGATTAACATACACTGCATCATTGTACTCTTTCTTATTCCGGGGCCTGTAATCAATTGTCCAACCTGCTGCCTTAAGCATATTCACTATTCGATCTCTCAAGCTTGTTTTACTTCTGATTTTCTCAGTTCCCCTTCATCTCCGGCTTTCTTTAGTCCCTTTTCATTGTCTCCCACCGTAAAACCTTAGATCTTAACATTAGTGAAGCCTTGCTCTCATTCTTCCATATAACCAAATCTATCCTTATTAGCAGACCTCTTTAGATTTGATTCTTTCCCAATCAGTAACTTCTCTGCATATGAAGTATTAGCAGGCATATTAAACTTTAAACTCCCCCTCAACTTCTTTCTGCTCTTTTTAGCCCAACCAACTTTTTCTCCCATCTATAATCCTTCCTTCAAACCCTTACTACCACCCTGAAGCTTTGCTGGTCTTCCACGCTTATGGATCACACCTTCCTTTACATTGCTTTTACATTGATCAATCCCTTCATTTCCAATTCAACTCGTTTATTTGGTAACCCATCACTGACATGCACTTTAGGTGGCCTCCCACGATGATGCATGACCTTCTTCCTTGACTCACAATCAAGGTGATCGATCTCTCCCATTTCGGTATCAACAGCTTTCTTTTCGACCCCATCATTGAGATGCATCTTGGGTGGTGACTCATGCTTGCGGTTTGCCTCCTTCCTTGTCTCGACTTCAGAGTGATAACTCTCTCCTGCTTTTACCTCATCCACTTCCTTCTCAACCTTCTGAGTCCTCTGTCTTGTCATTGGCCTGCATGCCCACAGTTATTATTTGACTTCTTAATGCCACTACGATCAGACTGATCACTCCCTTCTGCTTCCACATTAATTTCTTTCTTCTCAAACCACTATTCTCCTGCACTTTCCGTGGTCTACCACGGTTACCCTTAGACTCCTTAGTTGTATCCTCAACAGAGCAATTACTCTCCCCTGCTTCTATAATAAATTCTTTCTTTACAGCTGTCGTTGCCCAGTACCTTGGGTGGTCTTCCACGCTTGCTCTTCTTCCTCACTTTACCACCCGGGCAATCATTCTCTCCTACATGCTTCTCAAGTGTCTTCCTCTCAAACCCTTTCTTCCCTTGAAACTTGGGTGGTCTCCCACGCTTACCCTTAGATCCCTTAGTTGTACCCTCATCAAAACAATCACTCTCCCCTGCTTCTATAATAAATCCTTTCTTTACAGACCCATCATTGGTCAGTACCTTGGGTGGTCTTCCACGCTTGCGCTTGAGCTTCTTCCTCACTTTACCACTCGGACAATCATTTTCTCCTGCATTGCGTTCGATCTTCTTCTCAAACCCCTTCTTCCCTTGAAGCTTGGTGGTCTCCCACGCTTACGCTTTTCCGTAATACCCACCTTTCTCTGCTCCTTCACTTCACCATGAGACTGATCATTCCCTCCTCAACCACCACAGTTGGTTTTGTCTCAAAACCATTGTCATCTTCAGTTTTATCGACCCCACTCCCAATCTTATCACCTTCAATCACACTCCCAGTTTTCACTACAGACATTGATCGTAAAACCCTGACAGAAACTGGACTTTACCTTCTAAGCCTTTCTCTTTGACTTTTCTCTTCACACTAACTTCTTTACTATCTACATTATCCTCCACCAATCCCCCTTTTTCCCTATCATCTTCACCAACTTTCGGATACCCACATGACCATCTTCCCACATTCTTTAATCTCCTCTTCTTTCTCAAATTCAACCTCTTTCAAAGTGCACCCTAACGGATCATTATTTAAACCAAGAACCGGTTGCTTCACACCATCCCCCTTTTTCCTCAATGTCTTGCCTTGGCAAAACCTCACTTTCATCAGATTTCAATTGCAAACAGCTAGATCCTAGGCCCTCCTCCATCTCTTACAAAACCCTAGATTCAAGAAGGCACCTTTTTTACTTCGCTCAGAAAATCATCACACCGTGTCACATCAACGAAAAACAGTAGACAAGGCCCATTGGGTTTCATATTGACAACAGAAAAAATTTTAACTGCCCAAACTACTCTAAAGGAACTCGCAAAACTCTAAAACCAAGAGCCCGGAATAAAAAGACCAGAAATCATTGGAAAGTAAAATTATTAAATAGAAAGTGCAAAATAATCGCATGGGAACAGGCGGAAAGTGATCACATATCTTACACTAATGCAGCAGATTGAAACGGGATCCTATCGTGCCACGGCGTCGTATACGGAGATAGAGAGCTGAAGGCCACTCCAGTGGCGTTTCAAACAACTTCGGGGGATTATTAAGTGGGGGAGGTGGAGAAAGGGATAGATTTGGGATTTTACAGGCTCCCTACTGTTGGGGTTTGCTTTTTAGTTTTAGTACGGCTTATTAGAGTGGATGGTTACATAGCCGCAACAAAACCACGGTGTTTCATGGGTAAGATTGTCTTTTCACACTGTGCCTTCATTTTCGTTTTCATTTTCCCTCCATGTTTGCACACGATTACCCTCTCTCCTCGATTGAAAATCAAAAGTTGCCGTGTTTAATCCCAACAACCAATCAATCAATAAAAATAATCCAAGTTTCTTCCCTCTAATACTTGGTCTCTATGCTGTATACTGATTTAAAATCCCAGAATTAAATTTTATATTTTTTTATAGAAGACAATTAAGTTATATGTGTTAACAGATAATTATTTTTTTTAAAATGGAAACTAATTTAAAATCTACTCCTATTGGATCAGGTCGAATCAAAATCCGTTAAATTCGGGTTAAATTACCGTACCTAAACCCCGATCCTTTAAAGAGAAATACTCGTTGATTTCATAATTATTTTAAGTAAAATAAATTCTAATCACTGACCCAACCGTAGAGAGGCAAATTAATATTTTCATGGCCTTGGACAATTAATTGTGTTGCAATCCGTTGAGAGGCAAATTTTGCTGCTGACCATTTAGCTAAGCTATCGTTCCACCAAGCTCTTCCCTGATGTGCTTATGATCAGCCGCCATGTTCTCTAGCTAGCATTCTGCAGCGGGATCTAAATGGCCCCCTCACATTCGTTTGAATGTCTGATTCTTCGGCCAATGCCTCATTTCTACTCGGAAAAAAAAATTCTAATTACAGTAATATAACAAAAGTAAGATTTTTTTTTCTTTGAACACGAAAGAAAATTGTATTTTTTTTAAGTTGATTGTATCACGTCTCTAAACAGTTGCCTTTATTTTAA